TGTATGTATATTTATTTATTTATATATATATATATTTTTTTTTTTTTAATACTTTATTTTTCAGGGGTGCTGAGGTCAAATTTAGTTAGCACCCCCAAAAAGAGTTTAAAATCGACGCTGGTTCAAATTATGTTTAAAAAACTGAATTTCATAGGAAAACAAACCTGGTGTCATTTTACCTGTAGTTCCAATATTTCTCCCGTATAGGCGCAACACAGACACTGGCACAACGCCACAGACACCACAAAGTCAATAATTTCACCATTGTTAATACAATCACTGTTCTATCATATAATCTGACAGTGGCTGCTTGAGTGGTGCAGAAGGTGGAATCACCCATAATTAATAGCGTCCCGGCGGCTGTTCTGGCGCTGGGGTGTAACATCACACAAACACTCCATCCATCTGTTCCTGGCCCGGCTCTTCGCTCCAATTTTAGAACTCAGTGTGGCCCGCGAGTCTGAAAGTTTGCCCGCCCCTGCACTAGTGGTTAGAGCAGTCGTCCTCCAATGCAAGAGCTGGGGGTTCGAATCCACCAGCAGTCACAGGTTGAAGTGTCCCTGGGCAAGACACTGAACCTCTCACTGCCTCTGATGTGTGTCCAATCGGTGTTTGAATGTGATCTAATGCTCTGATTAGTCTCTTTAGAATTTGTTCAATTAGCTTTGTAGAGATCTAGTATAGAGCTGTATGAATGGGTCAGTGAGGCACAGATTGTTGTAAAGAGCTTTGAGTATCTTGAACAGTTAGAAAGGTGCTGTTTAAGTACAGTCCATTTACCATTTACAACAAAAGTCAGTAATTCCACACAACTCAAGTTTATCTTCTAAAAGATTTAGTTAATACAAACAAAAGCATTCTTACGAATAAAAAAGTTGTAGCTTTTATTTAAATGAGCAGATTTTGTTAAATCACAGCAACAACAAAAATGAAATCATCCTACCTGTGTTAGCATCGCTCCTATTGTGCCACATTCAATCCTTCCATGGCTTCCTAACCTGCAAAAAACACAACATTGTTGTAGTGATGTAAGGGTTAACTTCACTACTAATTAATTATTCTTGAAGCTAGTTCAAGCACAAAAAATATTAATTGTTTAATTACAATGGATTCTTTCTTTTTCTAGTTAAATTTCTGCCATGTGACCAAGATAACTGTGAGTGGGATGTTTAATCAGTGACATGAGACGCCATTTTATCTTTGACCCATCAGAATAAATGTGGTCATTTATTTAACAGAATCAAAATTTGACATCAAAACATGTACACATTGATTTGCTGATCTGTTCCTGATTAATAAACTTGGCACGATTGACTAACAAGACAACAGAAGATTACTGATGGAGACTGATTCATCTCTGAAGGCATCTAGCTGGATTTACTGGCGAATAGAGAAGTTTAAAGAGAAGGAAAATAGAAGTTTAAAGATTTAAAGAGGAGGTTTAGATGGATGAAAGTTGTGTTGAACCAGAAACATGGCACCCTTCCTCCGACATCCAGCTCAGCCCTCCGGTACACTTCAGGACGTGCAGCGACTTTGTTACCTTAGCAGAGGATGCATCCACTCCGGAACAGAAGTCCATTAGTACGCTCCCTTTACAGCGTCTCCGGTTAAAGTAGCTGGGGTCATCAGAAATCGTGACGAAGTACTCGGTTCAACCGAATAAGCTTCCTTAGAAGAGCTTTTAATGCTCGGGGTGAGACACAGCCGAGGCAGGCAGTGACTACGCTGGACTGGAGAGACCTTTGGCACATGGTCCAATCCATCCGCTATTTCGTTGAGTCTCATCTCTGACTGAAAGTTCCAGCAAGACTGGAAAACTAAGACTCATGAAGACTTAAGACTCAATAGTTCCAAGAAGTGTTGCCTTTTAAAGGGGTATCCACTTCCTGTTATGTGGTACTTCCTGATTGGTTGAAACAACCAGCAGGGGTGTGGTTCTAGTGATGTCAGAGGGTCACTAGGAGTCAGGAGACAGCAGGAATGTTTAAGAACGGTTAGTACAGACGGAGAAATGTTTATGAAAAGGTGAGACAAAGCAGATGCCAACAGCTCTTATTTACTGTCTGAGAGTTTTAAAAACAAGACACTTCGTTCTCATAACTCGTCTCTGACTTTCGACCGACATCAGGTCCACTATCCTCATTCAGACAGAAGACTAAATGCACACTTACTTCGTAAATAGACATTTAACTGTATGATTAAAGTCTAATGAGGTTTAAAAATCATTAATACTGTTTCACAATTGATTTAAATGAGTGGTTCACTTCAACATTAGAAATGGTATGAACTAAACACACTTTTGATTATCAAGATATTGTAAAATAGTACTGATAATGTAAAAAGAAGAGTGTTCTTTCAATTGATTAATTCAGGATACAATTAAATAGTCTCTTGATGAGAATTTGTATTTCTGGATTCAAATCAATGAAATAACAGTTCCTGTCCCCTGAAGGTCTTCAGAGACAGATTGATGTTGGAGGCCTAGTTCACTACATTGTTAAAAACAACAACAAAAAAAGCAGTAATGCACAGACTAGTTTCTTCTGGCAATTTATAAACCACAGATGAAGCTGGTCACTTCCTGCACAGATGTGTTTTTAGAAAATAAGCAGGCCGAGTGGAACCAAAATAGGCATGAAGCAGAACTCCGCCATGTTGCAGTGGAGCTCGATGCATTAAAGATGTCGGACATCTTCCTCGTGTCATTCACTAAACTTTATGAGTTAAATCACTTTATAGATCCTCTTTGTGGTTAATTAGACCAGAGCAGCGAAGCGCTGCGAAGGCCTATTGTAATCGCTCTGTTCAGGCCCGAGCTACACTTTTTTGGGGCAAATGAATTGGTGTTTTGGGGGCCTTAACAAATACCAAAACTCACCAAATACGGTGGACGCATCAGGACTGATGAAAAATTATGTATTTTAAGGGCATGGCAAAAATCGCAACAGAAACGGCTCAAGAGCGCCACCTGGAAATTTTTTGAAAATACCCTCCTCATTAACCTTAGTTTGTCGTAGAAGCATGAAATTTGGTACGCTTGTCCAATTCCCCAAGATACACAGAAAACCCTCTGGCACCAACGTTGTACGATAAACAGGAAGGCGGCCATTTTAGAATGCCGTCCCAAATTTCACACCTTTATGAAGGTTTACAGCCTTCGCATTTGAACAAACTCCTCCTAGGGATTTTGCTCAATCGGTTTCAAACTTGGCCATTTTGTTCAAAAGGCATAGGGGACAAAAAGTTATCTAAAAAGTTTGTTTCAGAGCATGCTGAAGGGGCGGGGCCAGACCTCAAAGTTTGACATCTCGCCATGAAAAACTAAACGCTAATAGCTCCTACAAGAAAACTGTCTTGATGAGACATCAAACGTTCAGTGATTGATCCACATCCGGCCCCCTGCAAGACTCAATGCGCAAATCATGACATCCCTTAAGCCACGCCCCCTGACAACAGGAAGTGTAAAGTTTTACGTTGAACGGTCCCTATCTGACCCCTGTTACCTGATCAGTATGATAGTGTGTCCAGTGACCGAAGACATATTGGTGTAACTTGCTTTCCAACAATGACAGTTTTGGGTGGAGCATGTGTGCATCGCGAAGTAAGACGTGACGCCGTCAACATACGTTTGGCTCTAAATTCCAAAGATTTGAACCGAAGTGCACCAAAATCAGTATGATCGATTATTATCCACCCCTTGAACAGGAATCCATGATAATTGGCCAATAGCCTCCACAGCGCTCCCTAGAATATTTTATAACCTCAGCCCCAAGCTGTTTTTGGACCGATAATTCTGAAACTCAGTGAACATCTGTGTCTTTTCAGGACCTTTGAAAAGTCTCTTGGAGCACAGGGCGAAGCTGGAAGAGTCATCCAATAATCAACAGTTTTTTCTCTGAGTAGGTGGGGCTTAAGTGATTTCATGAATCAACAATAGCAATGTGTCTACAAGTGCTCACTGATGAAGCACAAAAAAATCAGGTTCAGATCAGATGATGTATCAATAAGATATAACTTTTGGAATAATGTAGGAGGTGCACTGGAGTTTAGTGTTAAACAACACCAATGTGAGTAAAAGTGCTCACTGATTATGTACAATAAATCTGGTTCTGTTTTTGTCATTTAATTTTGGTGACATCAACTCACTGCTTGTTTATGATCGCCAACAACTTTTAAAAATACAATTATGTCCTGCAAACCTAAGTACAGTATCCTTATATCACGGCTGGAACAGTGGGTTGGGATCACAGGTGCTGCATTAGAATGGTTCCACTCATACCTGAGTGGCAGGACTTTCTGTGTCAAGGTTGGTAATAATGTATCTGCCTTATTTCCTCTTTCTTACGGGGTCCCACAGGGATTGATTCTTGGACCCCTTCTGTTCTCATTTTATTTGCTCCCACTGGGGTCCATCCTGAGGAAACATGATCTTTCATTCCATTGCTATGCTGATGACTGTCAGATCTACCTGCCTGTGAAACCAGCAAGTGTTTGCTCCATTCACCCTCTGTTAAAATGTCTGGACGACATTAACGCCTGGATGGCTTCAAATTTCTTAAGTTTTAATGATGAGAAGACTGAAATTGTTTTTAGCCCTAGCTCAACTGCCACCACTGATCCTGTCAACCTGGACTCTCTTCAGCCAAATCTGAAGCAGTCTGGTAAAAATCTCGGGATGGTTTTAGACTCTGACTTCAAGTTTGACAAACAAATCAACTCTGTTCTGCAGAAAAGCTTCTTCCAACTCAGACAGGTAACTAAGCTCAAGCCAGTGTTGTCCAGACCCGACCTTGAGAAACTAGTCCACGCCTTTGTCACGACCCGATTGGACTATTGCAACGCACTCTATGCTGGGATCAGCCAGGCCTCCATTTCACATCTTCAGCTCGTCCAGAATGCTGCTGCTCGGCTTTTAACTGGAACTCGTAGGTCTGAACATATTACTCCAGTTCTGTCCTCCCTTCACTGGCTCCCTGTTCGTACGAGGATAGTCTTTAAAATTCTTCTGTTGACCTTCAAATGCTTAAATGGCCTCGCACCCTTTAACCTCTCTGAGCTTCTGGAACCTTACGTTCCCTCTCGGGCCCTGAGATCATCAGATCAGCTGCTTTTGGTTGTTCCAAAAACAAGAAGGTCAGAGGAGATCGGGCTTTTTCAGTCATGGGCCCCAAACTCTGGAACAACCTGCCCCCCAACATCAGGCAGGCCACCTCCCTTCAACCTGCCCCCCAACATCAGGCAGACCACCTCCCTTCAACCTGCCCCCCAACATCAGGCAGACCACCTCCCTTCAACCTGCCCCCCAACACCAGGCAGGACACCTCCCTTCCTCACTTCAAATCTCTGCTTAAAACACATCTGTTCTCTCAGACAGTTCATACAGTGTAAATTGATCTAGTGTTTTAAATGTTTTTTGTTTATTCATTATTATTATTAGTGTATGGTATTTGTTTCATTAATTTTACTCCCATTGTTGTTGTTAAGCACATTAATAGCAGGTTCTGTTTTAAATGTGCTTTATAAATAAACTTGACTTGACTTAATGTTTTCAAAAATTACAATAAAATAGAGTTTTCTCCTGTATGTTTTTAGACACATCCACTTTATTCTTTTTCGGACGTTCATCAAATTGTTCAGTTCATTCAGGACGTCACAGCTACAGGTTCTTTCTCAAGACATCTCAGTCTGAGAGCTTTTTCTGTGTCTTCTGAATGGACCAACATGGAGAGGGGTTCAAAAACAGCCCCCCTCTGGTGTGCATTTGTGAAGCCGTGCGAGGTAGTAAAAGAGCCGGACTGGCCGACATAAAAAATGACGTTGCTGTGCAGCGGCTCAGTAATGTGATGAATTGATGACATCAGTGTGCGACTGCCTGCTTGTGGGACTCAACAACAGCAAACAGTTTTATTAATGATGACGCACAGCAACTTTGTAGTTATCACAGTCCTCAGTTTTTAGACCCATATGCAGGCAGGCGAGCGAAGCAGGAGTTCAAAT